AAATGTTATTTATTGAAAGATACAGATAATAACATCAAAAAATATTAGCTATCAAGGTTAAATCTAAACAAAGATGTGTATAACATATATACTGAAAAGTACAAAACATTATTAAGATAAAATAAAGAAGACCTAAATAAATTGAAGTTTATGTTATGCTCATAGGTGGGAAGACTCAATATTTTTAAGCATGACAGTTCTTCCCAAATTTATATACTAATCCTATTTCAATAGTTTATTACACTGCATGCTTTAATGATTTGTACACTTTTCTATACATACATTATAGTTCAATAAATAGTTCAATTCAAAGATCTTTCCCATTAAAACATATACTTGTAAGATATCAGGAGACTTAACAGATTTTGATAGAATGCAGTAAACTTAGATACTGTTAGTACTTTGAGGACTAATGATGATTTTTAGGTGTGTTTTATTTTAATTAAAAATTTTATATTATTTTATTGAAGTATAATTGACATACAATATCCTATTAATTTCAGGTGTATATCATAGTGATTCAGTATTTTTATACATTTCAAAATGATTTCCAAGATAAGTCTAGTTACCCTCAGCTGTGATTTTCTTTAATCATGAATGCTACCTCTGTTTTGTTGCATTGTTTGGTTAGGCAGACTAGATAAGAGAGTAGATTATTTTGGAAATCTTTAGTATGAAGTCACCTTAAGTTTTATATTGAAATATTTAATATTTTCTCACTGTAGTTAAATGAAGTAAGTGAAGAAAACAAGAAGATGGAGATTCAGGCTAAGAGAGTTCAAGCTCGTTTAGATAATTTACAGGTAAGCTGCCTGCACAAGTGAATTTTAAATGATTGCCTTTGGGTTTTCTCACATTTAATACAATTGTGTTTTAATTCATGGATATGCACTGTTGCAGAGGAAATACGAGTTTATGACAATACAGAGACTGAAAGGAAATTCCCATGCTGCTAACGAAATGAAAAGTTTAAGACAAGAAAAAGTACCAGTCTCAAAAACTCACAAGGTATGATGTGATTGAAAATTTCTCCAATAGAAGGCAAAGACATTTTTTCTCTTTGTTCTTGAACCTTTTTTTCCCTATCCTTTTTGATATGAAAAGATTCACCATAATAATTCATTTACAGAGAAATAGCTGTATAATGTTTCTAATACGCTTCTATTTACAAAAGCAAAACAAAGTATTTCAGTAGTGTTTCAGGCCTAGTAACATTGACAGATCACAGGATCTTAAGCTTAATAAGAGCTGTATCATTCATTGTGTTTTAAGAACCCATAAGCTTTCAATGTTTTCTGTCAAGACTGCAGTCCACACCTGAATGAGCTCTAATTTATTTATTTTTTCCTAAGGATTTTTTTACATTGAGGCATAAATTACAGTAACATAATGTATATTGTTAAGTATATAGTTTGGTCAGTATTGAAAAATGCCTATACTCCTGTAACCTACAACTAGATAGAGAATATTTCCATCACTCTAGAAAGTTCCCTTGTCCTTTCTCAGCTCTTCCTTGTAAGAAGTAGCTGTTAATCTGCATTCTATTACCATGAATTCATTTTACCTATTTTAGAACTTAGGTCAATGAGATTGTATAGTATGCATTCATTTGGGTAAGGCTTATTTTACTCATTATAACATTGGGTGTATCAATAGTTTGTTCCTCTGTAGTTGGTCAGTAGTATTCCATTGTATGACTGTATCACAGAATTTGTTTATTCTTCTGTTGATAGACACCTGGGCTATTTCTATTTTTTGTCTATTATGAATAAAGCTGTTAAGAATATTTGGGTACAAGGCTTTTAGCGGACATGTGTTTTCATTCATCTTGGAAATACAACTAAGGCCAGAATTTATGGGTCATAGATATTTGACTTTTCATGAAACTGCCAGTTTTCCAAAGCTGTTGTACCATTTTATACTCCTATCAATTTTGTGATTGCTCCACAACCTTGCCAACATTTGTTTTCAGTCTTTTTCATTTTGACCTTTTCGGTGGGTGAGTAGTGATATCTCAATGTGGGCTTTTAATAATTTTTATAAATCCTCTACTTATTTTCATAAAGTGGGAACACAGCACTGTTTAAAGATTTTTGTGGAATCTGAGTAGTAAAATCAGGAGCCACCATTGGGCAGTGTGACTCTGAAGGTGTTAACTGTCTGGCTTATGATGAAGACATCATGACTCAGGACCAAATTCAGCAAAAGATTGCTATGCAGAACCTTCTCTTCTTGGAGCTACTAGAACTCACCATCCTATGCAGGGAATATGCTGGATGACATCTATCACTGGAAGATTGAGCACCTCCACCAAAAGTTCTCATACATCTGCAAGACCAGGCTTTATGTGAGCAGCTGCTGCTGCTGCTCCACCTCCTCCTCCTCCTCCTCCTCCTCCTCCTCCTCCTTCTTCTTAAATGTTTATTTATTTCTGAGAGAGGGGAGGGACAGAGAGAGAGAGGGAGATAGAGCATCCAAAGTGGGCTCCGTGCTGCCAGCAGAGAGCTCAATATAGGGCTCAAACCCACAAACTGGGAGATCATGACTTACGCTGAAGTGGGATACTTAACTGCTGAGCTACCCAGATGCCCTTATATGAACAGCTTCTATCGAGGTTTTGAATTCTCCACATGGAAATGCTGCTGGATGTCAGCAGGGAGTTTTAGCAGTTCAAGGCTGTATCTGCCAAGATCAAAGAAGACCTGGTTTCCCAGGGCTTCACTGTTCACAGTTGAAGATTTCCACACCATGTTTATAGACCTAACTGAGCAGATGGAGAAGCAGACCTAAGTAGCCAACTTGCTGCCCTCCTTCAATAACCAGAGGACCTTCGACTTTCTGTTAGTCTACCTGCAACTGTTCACCTCAGGCTTCCTGTAGTATGAGCACTTCAGTGAAGGTGGGTGCACTGTAAAAGAATTCTGCCACCAGGAGGTAGAGGCCACATATGAGGATAGTAACCACATTCTTGTCATCATGCTGGCCCACGCCCTCAGGGTTCCATCCAGGTGGGTGGAAGGAGATTGCACAGAGGGTATAGCACCAACCTGCACATCTTTCCTGAAGTCTCTGGGCCTAAGATCTACCTTCTCTACCTCCTGGAACTACGATTTCCTCTACAAATAGGACTTGCCCCTGTCTGCCACTGCCCTGGCCTGCCACTGCCCTCTGCCAGGCAGCACATATGTTCAGAAATATTTTTTGTGGTTGTAAATGGAAATATTTCATACCCCCACTCTGACCTTTTTCCTCTTATACAGCCTTCCATGTTGTATTAACTCAGTTTTATTTCTACTGGGTACTTAATGATGACTGAAGTTATCTAAAGTTTCCATTTGAAGAAAACAGGTTAAAATTACTCGTTCAGAATAATGTAACTCTAATCTCATTCTGATTTTGTAGATTGCTGTCTGCTTAATGTTACTTTTTTATTTATTTGCTTTTGTTTCTTTGTCTTTTCAGATTTCTAAAAAACTAAATCTAGTGTAGTTCCCTGTTTAAGGTAGATGTGTGGTAAATGTAGAATTTGACTAAAAGTGATTTGAAGGAATACTAAAATCAGTGTAATTGACTCTATAAATTTTTCTGGCATTTTGTTCTTTACTTTGCTTTGATAGACTCTCAGAGAGGAGGATTTCCAGGAAAATTTTCATATCCTGTTTATAGAATGTTATAAAAACAAAGAAACAACTTTTTTGGGAAGAAGAAAATACGAAGTTCTTTGGTGGAAATTGTTTTAACTTTCTAAATCTTTAAATTTATTAAAATATTTTAGCTATGATGGTATATACTTTTGAGTTAAGACCAATTTTACTATGTTATCAAACTTAGGTAAAGAATTTTTATGAAAATCTTTTTTTGGTAATAAGGCAAAGTTCTTTCAATTTCATTTTTAAGATGAATTTTCTCCCCTTGTCTCAGCCATCATTTAACTTGTTTCTTATGTTAAATGGAAGTGCTTGATTTGGAATTTCCTTTGTTTGGAGAAGCTTTGTCATTCAATACATATTTTAATGGCATTCTTTAGGTAACTTTTTCTATAATCCCCAAATTTAAAACTTGTCTTTGAAATTTTATCAGGTTGTGAACTGAAATATATGTTTGGTTTAATTTTTTACATATAGGTACCACTTAATGCACAAGTTTATGAACTTTTAACTGTCTTCATGGACTGGATTTCAGATCACCACCTTAGTAAATTAAAAAGCGAAGAATCTGGAATGGATGGTGAAAAGCCCCTACTGACATTTGCTTCTCAGAGAAATGATATTCAGGAGAAGTGTATAAAGGTTTGTTTCTTGATTTGATATATATGACTTACGAAGATCAAAACTGGAAAGCCTATTGTATATGTTATAAGGGAAAAAATATTGAAAATATTTTTGATTGAAAATTGACCATACCAATAGTTCTGAAAAGATTCATTTCAGACTTAATTAAAATTAATTCATACTTTTATTTTTCTTAAAATAATGGGAATTCTTTTTAAAGATAGAGACTAGAAGTTAACATCTTAATCCAGAAATGGCAAAATAATTGTATACTAGAGTTAGGCAAATGATCAGTGATACGAACAATTCCTGATTGATAACACATGATTTCCACTAATTTTGTTTTACTTTTTGTCATGAAGGGATGAAAAGTCTATTTGTAAGGGGCTTCTCGTTAACAAAAAGACATGACCATTTTCTTAAGTTACAGACATTAATTTGGATATTAGTACTCATGATTTCTAGTTAGTATATATGGTCATTAGAGGTTGACAACTATATTCTACAAGAAATATATTAAAACTTTGAAGAGTAGACATCTAAAGTTGTTTGTTTAGTGTTTTCAGAAACAATTATATAATTGTTAAATATTGGCTAGGGTTTCATTTGACAAAATTATTTCCAGTTTTCATCTTTACGTAACTAAAATGTTTCTTCTAAATGCCTTTTCTGCTTGGCAGAATAATGGCTTTCAAGATACTCATATCCTAATCCCTGGAACCTTTCCATATGTTATGTTATATGGCAGAAGTGAATTACGGTTTGCTAATCAGCTGACTTTCCAATAGAGATTGACCAGGTTGTCTGAGTGGGTCCAGTAGTCATGTGAATTTTTAACCAGACAAAGCAGAAGAACAGGTCAGAGACTCAGCCCATGTTTGCTAGCTTTGAAGGTGGAAGAAAAGTGCCATAAGCCAAGTAATGCTTCTAGAAATTAGTGCAATTTTAGTTATATTTAAGGCTCTGATTAATTTTCAGTTAGTTTTTTGTCTCTGGTGTAAGATAAGGGTCCACTTCATTTTTCACAAGTGAATATCCAGTTTTCCCCTCACCGTTTGTTGAAGAGACTGTCCTTTTCCCCATTGAGTGGTCTTGGCACCCTTGACAAACATTATTTCACCATGTATGTGAGGGCTTATTTCTGGGCTCTCTGTCTCATTGGTTTTTATATCTCTATGTGAATATGACACTGTTGTGATTACTGTAGCTTTGCAGCAAGTTTGAAATCAGGTAGTGTGAGACCTTCAACTTTGTTCTTTTTCAAGATTGTTTTTTGTCTGTTCACTGTGCCTGGAGATTCCATATGAATTTTAGAATGAGTAGTAGTCTATGTTGTATAAAAGTTTTACATTTTTGTGTAATTAAGCCCATATCCTTTCTTATTTATTTACTTATGTATTTATATATGTATTTTTTATTTTGAGAGAGAGTGAGTGAGTGAGCAGGGGAGGGGCAGAGAGAGAAGAGAGAGAATCTCAAGCAGGGATTCCCAAGCTCCTGACAGAGCAGAAGTCCAGTGCAGGGCTCAGTCCCACAAACCATGAGATCATGACCTGAGC